TAAAGAGACGGAATGCCGCTTTTTACTGTCGAAAGGCGGAGGGGACACGATCCAGACCCCTGCAACCGTGCACCCGCGAGAACCTCTTGAAGTATTCGCCTTCAGCACACCCGCGCTGAAAAAGAATCGGTGACGCCATTGTGAATCCGTCGTCGGATGTCAGGAGTCATCGCGAAGCGGCACAACTTTCCTTCCCCGTCGCATCATTGCATTGTAAATGTACCGTGTGTGCAAACGAACTACACCCGTTCTGCTCCAGTGAAAAACCAAAAGTGCCGAAAACAAAGGTTACGTGCCACCGCTGCGGGCTTTGGATCCAATACCCAATGATGAAACGAATGCCCGAAATTCTGCACGTTGGCATGGTGCAAGCGGGTTCAGCCTTGGAGAGTTTTAGCGGGGTGGATGGGTGAGGGGTCATGTCCCCTTGGCGGCGGCGCGGGTCCCGCCCCCAGCACCCTCTGACAATCTAAAACACCCGAGGGACTTCTAAGCCATACAGGCAGGCACCTGAAGACCAGCTAACCAGCTTGCCAGTGACTGACCAATTCATTTCATTGGCATGCACGAACTTGGAGACCGCGTCACCCCACCGCTGGCAATCACACCTGAGGTGTTGACCGGTGGGAAGCGCTAAGCCCGCCTTCTGGTCAAGCAGGCCCGCGCTAGGTACGCCATCTCAGCGCTCTGAGTACCGGCTGCGACTAGGGTCCAGTCCCTACGACGCTCTGTTCAACATTGTCCAAAGCACGGCAGTCTCGCAAAAGACATCAGCCACCGCAAAAACAGCGGCAAATATCGGCATCTCCAGGTAAAGGCTAGACTGCCAGCCGGTCGGCCCAGCCACCAATGGAAACCCTGTATGTGTGTATGCATTTGGGGCCCGAAGCTTTCACCGAGCGGTGGGTAAGTTTTCACTACGCAGTACCTGGTGCCATGCACGGCGCACGTGAGAGAGGACGATTGTGGCTGAGTACGCAGTACCTGGCGCTACGAATGACGCACGTGAGAGAGGACGATTGTGGCTGAGTACGCAGTACCTGGTGCTACGAATGACGCACGTGAGAGAGGACGATTGTGGCTGAGTACGGAGTACCTGGTGCTACGAATGACGTACATGAGGGAGGACGATTGTGGCTGAGTACGGAGTACCTGGTGCTACGAATGACGCACGTGAGAGAGGACGATTGTGGCTGAGTACGGAGTACCTGGTGCTACGAATGACGTACGTGAGAGAGGACGATTGTGGCTGAGTACGGAGTACCTGGTGCTACGAATAACGCACGTGAGAGAGGACGATTGTGGCTGAGTACGGAGTACCTGGTGCTACGAATAACGCACGTGAGAGAGGACGATTGTGGCTGAGTACGGAGTACCTGGTGCTACGAATGACGTACGTGAGAGAGGACGATTGTGGCTGAGTACGGAGTACCTGGTGCTACGAATGACGTACGTGAGAGAGGACGATTGTGGCTGACGACATCGGTGTAACATGGAATGTCGCTCTACGTGTAATGGATGAGCAGGCAAGGACAGGGGATGTTGTGGCTGAGGACGAGGGAATGAGACCTGAATGGCATTCTACACAGCTGAACCTTCATCCCTGCCATGCATTTTAGTCCCTCCCCCTCTCGGAAGCTACTCTCCCACCCCGCCGCCAAACCAACTCACCCAACGAGCATCTGACCCCTGACGCCGCCTCTAGCGCTGACCGCGCCCTCCACCGCCAGGAGGTGGAGCTGACGCCGCGCCTCCTGCCCGACATGGACACCACCGACAACGACGGTCTGATCGTCAACCTCCGCGGCTGCCGGCGCAACGTCAGCCTCTCCGCCGACTTCCTGCGCGAGACCGAGCGCTTCGCCGCCATCGCGCTCGAGGTGGTCGACACCGACCAGCTCACGTTCGCCGAGCTCGACATCGACGCGGAGCGCTTCAGCAGCGTGAGGGCACACTTTGAACGCGTGCGCCTGCCGCGCATCAACAGCGCCCTCTTCGCACAGCGGCTCAGCGTCAGCGCCGTGTTCGACGACGTCGACATCGGCGAAGTCGCCAGCGGCGCGTTCGCACAGAACCTGGTGCTGCCGGACGTGACGCTGCGCCGCGCGCGCGTCGGCCGCCTCAGCGCCGGCGCCTTCGCCCTGCCGGTTGGCGTGCGCAAGACACCGGTGGTGCCGACCGGTCTGCTCGTCGTCGACAGCGAGATCGGCACCTGGGAGTCGGACGCGCACGTGGGCGGCACGCAGGTGATTGTGGTCGACTCGCAGGTGGGCGTGCTGCAAGCGCGCGCCCTCTCCACCACGGGGCTGATCGCACTGCACTGGAACGACACCACGATCGCGGCGGTCGAGCAAGAGGCCGTGTTCGAGCACGAACCGCTGAGCGACGACCACGCGCCGCCCGCCGTGCTCAGCTTCCACGGCAACCGGTTCGAGTCGGTGCTGGTGACGCGCGAGGACGGCGCCGGCCCGCTGCACTTCGAGCGCGGCGTGCCAGCAGCGCTGCGCTTCGACGAGAACGACGTGGCCGGCAGCGCGGTGGCGCCGGTGACGCCCGACCCGCGGCCGACGCAGCTCGCCGGCACGCGGCTCGAGTGCCGCTGCCGCCTGCTGGCCGGCTGGCTGGCGGCGTCCGCCTTCAGCGAGACAGCGCTGTGCCAGCCGCGCAGTCCCGGCGAAAGCGTGTTGCATCGCGCCGCCGAGTTCCTGGCCGAGGAGTGCGACGGCAGCGGCCGACCCACGGTCAACCCGCGGGACCGGGGCGCGCCGCCCACCTCCTCCGCCGTCCGGCTGGCCGCGGCGCTCGCGCAGCTCGCCGCCGTGTTGGCGTACGGCCTACGCGCGCTGCTCGGCACCGACGGGCTGTGATGACGGGGCCGACGACACGGCAGCGAAGCGTCATGGACTCCAGGTCAAGCACGCCTCGTGACATCGCGTGTGTGATCTGCGCCGCGAGCTGACGGACGTCCCGAGCAGGCCGTGGCTCTCCGGACTGCGTCATCTCAGATAGAGGCGGTGGCGCGAGGAACCGGCGCGCTTTCTTCCACGAGCCGATAGCGCATGGCGCCGACAATGCGCCCCGCCGCGAGGGTCGCGGCAAGCCGGCACAAAACCCTGGTGTCGCCATTTCGCGGAAGTCTGAATCCTGCCAGACGATATTGAGAACAAAGCCGCAGTCGGGCAAGCTTCCGGTGCGGAAATGACTCCATGGACACCGGTCCCGCCTGGACTGAGCGCAATCGCCGTGAGTGCGTGCATGCATGTGCACACGACGCGTATGCGTAGTGCATGACCACTGTTGACCATTTCACACCGAGTCATGTTGACTGGAACCGAGCCGTGCTTCGGCCGCTTGTTGTCGCCCACAGCGCGTGCATCGCCGCACTGACGCGGCTCCGCGTCGCGGTCAGCCAATCAGGTCCTGGCCGCCGCGCGTGACGCGCGCTGACGTCACGAGCGTGCGTCGGACCGCGGCAGATGACCGCCGCCAGGCCGTGCATCCTGCCGCCCGGCCTCGTGTGACCCGGACGCCGGACTCAGCGGCGGCCGACCACAGTGACAATCCAAATACACAGCGAGGTTCCCGCAACCAGCCGGTCGGCAGTTTGCTTGGCGGGCTTTACGCTTCCAAATGACGCGCATTGACAAACACCGCGCGCCGCCTGCTGCGTAGAACATGACATTGGGGCTTTTCCGGAATCATCAGCCAGTTGCGGGTTCAAATCGGGTGTGTGGTCCCCTACAGCTCCAGGAAAGGAATAGATGAGATGCAACGAGTGGTGGAGAAATGCATGTCTGCGAAGGGACTAGTCACAAATTGCGATCCAACATTCGCGAAACGTTGAAGCCGACGCGTTTACCTATTACAGGGGCGGCATCGCTCCATAAATCCTATGATTACTTAAAACGTGCCACCTCGTCAGGAACAGATTGGCGAGCAAAAGAATGAACACGATCTTGTCCAGTGCTGATTGAGTGTTGAGGAGCACATTCCGCAGTGGGTCACATGCGAGCAGGGTTTTCCCACCCGCCACCCCCAATAAATTAGCATGCACCGTCAGCGAATACACACAAAACACAATGGGGCATTCCTCGACAAAAGGCATCCGAACAATATATGCGGCAGCGCTGCATAAGATGACAATGATAGCCCTCAGCACGATGCCGGGTCATGACAGGTACGCAACAGTACATGCAGCAGGGTCGGAAGAAAAGAGGAACAAATGTAAGAGAAACAAGGATAAAACGCTGTCCGTGCGTGCGTGGAGGCATTAAGACCTTACATTTATATGTCACTTAAGGGCACCCGCTCCCCACAGTTTTGTTGTCCTGTGCACATCGCGTTAACTGACGAATGCGCGCGTGACGAACGCCACAGCAAGCCGCGTGAGCAGCGCACAGCTGGTGGGGTAACACACTATCCGATATAACGTGTGGTTACCAAAGTCATACCGATGACACGTTATGCACACGCAACCTCTTATCGCCACATTGAGCAGAAGCACGTCCCTCCCAGCATGATGACCCCAGGCTCCCTTTCTTCTCCAGAAGCCCCCCCCCCCCCCCTTCCCACATTCATTCTGTCCTACACAACCACCCAATTTCCTCTCATGTCCTTCCTGTACGTACCCTTCTCGCCTTCATTGTACCTCCATCTCTTGTCTGTAAATCCTCCCCTCCGTGAATCTCGCAGCCTTGTCTTGCGCCATTCTCCCACCCACACCTCCGACCTGCCTTGTGTTTCCTCGTCCCCTGCCCCTGCCCCCCCCCCCGAACCCCCCTCTCCTACCCCTGCACCTCCCTTCGCTGCCGTGCACCTTCCTCAACTGAACGGTAAGTCTGTTTTCACTTTCGTCCGGTAACTCGACTCCTCCCTTCATTTTCTTGTACATCTAGCTACCTCGATTGTCCAGTGCCTCCACTCCTTCCCTGCAGACCTACCCCGTCCCGTTCCTTCCTGGCCTCCTCATCGCCATGCGCCTGCGCCGCCGGCCGACCCACCTCCATCTCCTCGGCGGCCAGACGGCAGGCGGAGCCGAGCCCGACCACCAGCGGGGTGGGCACCGTGCCGGAGCGCATGCCGCGCTCCTGACCGCCACCAGACTGCACCGCCTCCAGGCGCACGCGCGGCCGCCGGCGCACGTACAGCGCGCCCACACCTGCCGGCGCGGCACCGCGTCAAGGGACGCGCCGCGGGCCGGGGCTGGGGCGGACACGGACGGCACGGATGGCGACACACGCCCCGGAAGAGACGGCACGGATGGCGGACACAGGCCCCGGAAGAGACGGCACGGATGGTGGACACACGTCCCGGAAGAGACGGCACGGATGGTGGACACACGTCCCGGAAGAGACGGCACGGATGGTGGACACACGTCCCGGAAGAGACGGCACGGATGGTGGACACACGTCCCGGAAGACACGGCACGGGTGGCGGACACACGTCCCGGAAGAGACGGCACGGATGGTGGACACACGTCCCGGGACAGAACACCGGTCTGAAGGGTGACCAATAAGAGCAAGTGATCCGAGTACGCCCATCGCATATTTCCAATACCAAAGAGCCTGCGCTGGACCTGGATCATCTACCCCCTCCTGCTGGCATCCTTTTACCTCACGAAAACCGTTAAGTAACCCCCCACCCCTTTCAATACACAGGTGGCGCGCTGCAAACCTCGCAGGCTTCCAAAGGGCCCCATAAGTCAAAAGCCTTTTCAAAAGGCCTTGCCCAGCGTACCCACCTTTGGGCCCATACAGCTTATGACCGCTGATGGACATCAGGTCGATGCTCATATCGTTGACATCCACCGGGATTTTGCCCACGGCCTGGGCGGCGTCCGTGTGAAAGAACACCTTGTGCGCACGGCACATCCGTCCTGGGGAGCACGAGCGATCTCAGTGACAAGGCCATCGGTGGTGACACTGACGGGCCGGCTGTCTCATGGATGGGACATTCTCATCCGCAGCCTGCCCGAGAGGTACCGATCGTCACGAATCTTAAGAATGTCGAGGCCGACCTAGACGCAGCGGCAGTGGTCCAAAATGGAAGGGGGGGGGGGGGAGGGAAGCAGCGGTCAAACGGCATCGAGTACGCGCCAGCACGAACGGTCGCCAGTGACGGCACAGCCTGTCCGGGGAGCATGAGAAGCGTCCACGCCAGCACAGCCTGCGGTTGTCAGAAACATAACGAGCTGCGTGGGGAGGAGAGTCAGTCGCCACTAACGGTGGAGCCTACCTGGAATGGACAGCCAGTCGTCAATAATGGGACAGCCTACCGGAATAGCACGATCAAGCGGCGAGAGCGTCGCTAAACGATATAGCGAGCCATTGGGGTTCAGTTTCCACAGTCTCCCCCATCTACAAATGTCAGCTCTTCACTAGTGCAGCTGTAGCTGCCTAGGCACCAAGCCTCCTTTGAAGGTCGGAGCCTACAACGTATCTCCAAACAGGTCTACCGATTTCCTCCCACCGATTTCCCACGCCAGGTCACCGCCGAAAAACCGCCGATCTTTCACGACAGGTCCCGCTAACCCCACACCGACCTTCGGCCCCAAACCTCCACCAGACGTGTTTCGACCACCGCCCCCCCCCCCCCCCCCACCCCCCGGTCCACCACCCACCGACCTCCTTCACGGCCCCAGCCGTCCGCAGTCCACCACCTTCCAGGACGCTACCCGCTGGCTACCCACCAATCTCCTCCACGACCCCAGCCGCCCGCCATCCGCCGTCCGCCACCGACCCACCTCCTCCACGACCCCGGCCGCCCGCCGCCCGCCAACACCGATCTCCTCCACGACCCCGGCCGTCCGCCACCCATCGATCTCCTCCACGACCCCAGCCGCCCGCCGTCTGCCACCCACCGATCTCCTCCACGGGCTGGCGCACGCCGATCTCGTTGTTAACCGTCATGATGGAGCAGAGCGCGGTCTGCGGCGTCATGGCCTCCTCAAGCTGTGCCAGGTCGACCAGACCGTTCGGCCGCACCGGCAGGTACGTCACGCGGAGCCCCTCCATCTCCAGGTACCGGCATGAGTCCAGCACACATTTGTGCTCCTGCGGCCGGCGGCGAGCGGCGCACACGGTGAGCGGTCAAGAGGACGCGATACGCGCCGGTCCACATTACGGCAACACTACAGCAGCTCCATCTGAACGGAATGTAGCAATGCCGCGTTGCCATCGCCCACGCGAGACGGTGTGAGGTACCAGACACGCGAGCGCGTGAGTGGATCGCGCACTATCGGGCGAACGATTAAGTGGGAGATCGATCCAGTAATAGCTTGTAATTAAATCCAGACTTGTTTTCATTACGTATGGTAACTGATGACGCAAATTAATTTGACCTTTGCACTGAGGCATGCATGATTATTGCCATGAAACGCTGTAAATTGCGAATAGCATTCGAATGAATGATGACGATGATGACGATGATGAGTTCCATCACGCCCAAGTCTGGACACACGCAATGGCACAAGAAATCACCAGCTTTTTTAATAAGCAAGCTTTTACTGTACCATAACACGGGAATCCAAAACAACAGGAGTAGGAACTTAGACTGCCTCTGCAGATGATTACATGACAGAAAGCAGCGTAATTCACATGAAGGCCACGGTGGGGTACATCTTCAACAAAATGTGGACGCATATAAAAATGCACCACAACCAAATTATTCTCGCGAGAATAAAGATGAAGGCACGCAGCCGAATTAGCACACTGCAACGCACAATACGGCCTCGACACAAAAACACAGATTCCGATCCCAGCAGACATTCAAGTCAGACATTAACCTGCAAAATGTGTCAAACTAATGGAAGAACAAGCGTTTGATAACGAGAACTTAGCAGTGCGTAACAGGCTTCCCTCCGGGCGGTCATATACTGCCAGCATAGCCATGAATCTTCTACAGCACTGAGAAGCGCTACAAAGAAATGTTCGTTTCGCTTAGTCTTGGTGACCTAGCTTAACAAGTCTACGTCTAGTAAGCCTATCAAACGACGCAAGTGTAACTCGCGACGCAGTGCAAAGCTCGGTCCATACAACACGCAGCAAGACCAGCTCTCTGCCGTCTCACCAGTCATAAGTGTGCGGGGCCTCACCGTCTGGGTAGTGATGACGTGGTTCTTCTTGGAGCGGTAGAACTTGGCCACGCCCTTGACGGCGATGTTGTTCGACTCGGTGGCGCCCGAGGTGAAGATGATCTCCTTCGGATCTGCACCGATCAGATCGGCCACTTGCTGCCGGAAACAACGCCAACGCTCAGCCGCGGCAGCGACAACAATCCCGTCCGACGCGGCCGCGGCGGGCAGTGTTAAAACGCCCAAATGGCGAGCGGGCATGGGAAGAACTATGTGTAAGCCACGGCAGACACGGAAGGTATTCACTATCACGGGTGGAGTCATTGTTTGGGGTTTAGTCCCCGTCGGGTGTGTTAGTACGCACACAACGTTTCGGCCAGTTTGCTGCCTGGCCGTCGTCAGGTGCTTATCGAGTCCTTCCGTAAACCTGTATCCCCTATCATGCAACGCCAAATTCGTCTACGAAAAGTTCCCAATCCGATAGACAAATTCGTTGCGTGCGCATGAGGAAATTACCTGGCACTTACATCACCGCGAAGGGGTGTCAAACTTCCAGTATAGAACCATTACCATTTGGCTGGTTCCAAGACAGAAGGGAGAAGGACCAGGCGGATGTAAAGCCACATTTCATTGCTCTCGTTCTGCACACAAAGTGCATCACGCAAGAAAAGTCCCGTGCAAAATACCACCAGATCGGCTGGCGTATCTCCGCGCTCACCGCTCTGGCCTTTTCCACTGCCGCCTCGCTCTCCCATCCGTACGCGTGGGTGCGCGAGTGTGGGTTGCCGTAGTAACCGGTCAGGTATGGCAGCATCGCATCCAGTACCCGCGGATCCTGTGTGGAACGTAAACCGATGGGGTCACCCATCCAAGCGCGACCACAGAATAACAACCACGGCCGAGGATAGAGCCCACAGACCGCCTTCATGGCACCCATTTCAATGGCCATGTTATTGGGTGTTTTTTTATTGCGTGCCTTGCAATTACATGGTACACCTCCAATTGCTGAAGTTTTTCAACATTAGACAATTAAGAACATCACATTCTCGCAATCGGAATAGTATCATTACCATGGGTGTCGTTGCTTGGGTATCCAGGTACAGAGGTCGGCCAGCGAATTCGTCATAATTTTCAGCCAAGTTTCTGATAGAGCCTGAAAGCAAAGTGTACGCCCAACATCAAGCAACACTAAACCAGAGTTACTGTTTAAACAAAACGTCTAACCCAGGGACAGAAGGTATTCCAATACATAACACACAATCTTGTTGATGTAGAACACCACAGTCACTCACCACTTTCACTGTCACTTTTCCAGTGTCTCACTGGAAGTGTCAACACACACACTCATGACCATGATCATTGGGATATGATAAAGCTGCAAAAACATGTCATGCATCAGCCTCGTTTTGTAAAAAGCCTCATATGTGCAGTTTGGTTGGTCTGGAATTTGATGCAATGAAATCAGTATCTGCATATTAGCCTTTTCGCACTTCACCATCATACTACGTCCCATTGAAAAGAACACAAATTGGGGACACATTACTGCACATCCTTACTCGCTGGTCACTGCCAATAAAACGTGCATTTGATTAAATACAGCTGAAATGGGGCATGGACATGACATTACATGCAACAGACCTGTACAGTAAGGAAGTGCAAATGCGCCCAAAATGAAGTGTTTTTGCAAGTGTGTCCAAAATGAACAGTACTTTTAACATTGTCATCCAGAATTGCAGGGCTGCCTGGAAAAGTGAACATTTTCGCATGATGAAAAGACAGTACTGAACAATGCATAACTTACCGCTTGTTGTGACAAGCCTGCTCTGTAAATCTGTGAGAGTTTTGATGCTCTTTGGGTTCAGAAAAGATCTTCTGATGCTTCCAAATACAAGGGCCATTTTAAACCTTGGTGGTAGCCTGGAAACGAAGATCATTTTTGGAGTGACCATAGAAATCAATTTATCTAGGACCTACAGTTCACTGTATGGTTCCCCAGAACGTTTTTAGCCGTAAAGATGTGATCGCCATCCACGCCGTGCATTATCTCCAGAATCTGGAACTTAGAAGACTCGCTGGCTTAAACGCACCGTTATTCTCGCGCTCCGACTTCGAAACAACCTATGCATGTTATTGGGAGGGAAGAGGTTCGTTACCTCCAAAATTTCGTCACGCCTAGCTTTAAGCAGTTTGACAGAAGTCGACCCTACCGACATCGCGGTACGCTCCCGCATAAGATAGCTAAACCTAAACACCAAACGCACACTGAACCTGTTTGGCCTGGGTCTCGAGGCGACCCATGACTTGCCAGCTAGCGGTGTTGGTTCCTGCGGCGGTCTCTGTTTGCCACCTGAGGTGGCCCATGACTAGCTGAACATTCACTCCCAGAGACACGGCCAGAATTTTCTTCCGGGTAGGGGAGGATGAGCTCGGCGAGAACACATCGCGCCAACATTTTTTATTTCTCTTCAAAGCCATCTGTGGTAAAAAAGTGGAACATACAACGAAAGGGACCATCCCTCTTTTGGCACGCCCGTCCAATCGTGGCTGCTTGTGTGCACGTACAGCGCGCTAGAGTGAATGTGTGGTCTCAACACTGGGGGGGGGGGGGGGGGGCGTGATACTATGGACCATGTTTAGCATATCCCTGCGGCACTGAAGCAGCCATGGCAGGGTCAGGAGGCTAGAACTTCACCATATAGGAATGGATCACGCTGCCACACACTTTGGACCAGATGGCTTTCATTACCATGCTTTTTCAATGATGGACCACAGAAAGTTAGCCAGCCTTGGCCTGTTTTTTTGTACACAATCTAGCTTTCAGCTCCAATGAAATCCAAATGGAGCAAAAAATTCATCTGCATTCAGGTGGGGGCCAAGTTGACCACCCTAGGTTTTTCCGGAATAGTTCCGGACGGCGCGGCATAGCCGCGCCAAATTTTTCATACCTGTAGACAACTGAATAAAAGATTGTTCGGTATCAAACCTTTTGATGGACCTTCAAAGCTCACTGACCTATGCAATGTCAGTCAGAGCATGAATTCAGTGAAGTTGATTTCTAGGGAAGCATTCCATCTGATGCAGCAACATGTTAGATGGAGCCATACATCTCTGAGATAGTTTCTAAGGCAACACAGCAATTGAATGAAAAAATTCAACAGACCTAGGGTCAGGTTGGGGTCAGGCCTAGGTCAAAATCAACCTGTTTTATTACTCTAAAGTTTGCTGTATGGGGTAGTTCCTGGTCCCCATTTCAAATGATTCATAATAGGAACCACATAATACATCTTCCACACATTTCTTGAGGGTCAGGATAAGCCACTGACCTGAAGTAACCCAGGTCAACATTTTGCTTTTATGAACAAACTGCAGTAGCATTATCTTTGATGTTCATTCAAATACAAAACTAAGCAGTCTTGTATGATTTTGGTCATCATGATGTCTGAGAGGTTTGACAAGGCCACTGACTTTGAATGAGCACAAGTGACCTTTTGCTTATAACAGGTACCTAGGTTCATGAGCACTTTGGATACCAATCTGAGTTTGACCTTGTTTGACCTTATTTAACCCAAAGGTCATGACTCTAAAAACCCCTAGTTTGACAGATAAGAGTTAATATACAGACTAACACACCCTGAGTTTGGTGTCTGGGATCATTTCTGAGATCTCAGGGGAGTCAAAATGACCTCCACCTGGTTAAGTGCATTCAACCAGCCAGGCCACCCAGACATGTGTTTAAGTTATTATGATGCTGGCTCTCTGAGAGGTAGTTAGCCTAACAGGAGGGGGAACACAGACAGATGGGCTATGACATTTGAAACTCAGCTGTTCAGCTAAACTTAAGAAGAGTCCAGATGAGGTTGTTGGTGACGAACAAGAGTAATGGATCAATATATGTCACGGTCCTGTCTTGGAAAGAGAATGAAGCACCTTACTGCAGTGTTGCAGTGAGATCAGCACTGTTATGGGACAAACCAGCTTTATGTTACCTGGACTCCATGGCAGCTAAATGTCTGATATTATCCCCATGCTAGTTTATGCTTCATTAATGTTCAGCAACCCATGCCTCACCATGAGCAATGTAAGCTATCTAATGCTCAACCAAACACAGAAACCACTTAGTATTCCATCAGTAGAAGGCCGCAATCCACCACCCAACTGTACACTAATGCCTCAGCATGCAGCCCTAACAAAGCTCCATCATAGATCAACAATTCGGCCAAAGTGCACCAAACAAATTTCCATAGTTACATAACAGTCACTGGGAATCAGCATTTTCACAACTGATAGATACCTCCACTACACAACCAATGCACAATCACATAGACTTAGTAGATGGTTGGGCAGGCGTGATATTAACATAGGTTAACGATAAGAACAAACTGTGTGTGTACTGCTAAACCGTGGGCCCCTTATTGCCGCGTTCTGTCCTCGAATTGAGAAGAGGATGAGCCATCACGAGCGAAAAGGATTTCGCGCCGCACACAACATATTCGAAGAGTGCCTGACTAAAAGCGTTCTCATTAGCGTGACTGTTCCATACCGGTGCGCACCTCAGCCTCCGATACCCTCCCAGACACTCACGCTTCCACGGTTCACGTTACCCCGAATATACGCAGAGTTCAAGCTCCGCAGGATGATTGAGCGGTCAAGGAAGCTACATTTCACAAGTAACCCATATATGCTCGATCTGCGTTTGGTGAGCAATATACAAGCAATCAAATCGCGTGGTAGTATAGCTACCTTTTCATTTCTCAAATCGTGATGCTGTCAGCAAGATCATCTTAAAGCGAGCATGTAAAAACCCAACACAATATGACAGAAACGACGAAGCTAAGACGATAACGACGATGGTATAGCTGTATATCAGTCCGTGTTTGGACTTACATTCAGTGTAATGCAGGGTTAGGGCGAGGGGAGGTGTCAGGTGCGTTGGGTATGTTTTTGTGTGTAGCAGGCAGGATGTGGCTTTGTAGAAATTATTTGTTGTGGCTCCAGCATTGGTGACCGTGACCATTCTTTACACTCAATGGACAAACTATACCTCAGAATTTGTGGTTATCATGGGACTTGGTCTCCCCTTCATGGTGTACAAAGTGGTCCTTTAACGAGTATTTAAGATTTTATTGAGATAAATGCATATTGACCTGTCATTTGATGTCAATTCAATTTTAAATCAGGTATGTAATGAAGCTATTTATATCAATGCACATTTTTGAGTCATCATTTTTCATGTGTATTGTAAGAATGAAACCCAAAGCTAATAAAAGTGGGTTGCTTAGACCTGTAAACAAGTAAAAGAGTGGCCATATATTTCTAGAAATATGTTGTATAGCTGATATTACCCTACCACAGGACTATGCCACCACATCATGATACATCTGATGTAGTGCACATATCACTGCACATTTAGATCTTCAGAGCTATGTAGAGAAACAATGGAAATGTTGTGCTATACAGCTGTAGTCAAGCCCTTATGTTGCATAGCTGCATGTGTTTCTTGGCTGGATTTATTGGAATAGGTAGCTTGGGTTTGTATTGCTTCTTTACATACTGTTATGATATATTTGGCTGAATAGTTGTCACTTTAATTGGTGAGGATAAAAAATCCATTCTTTGGTATACAGTATTTGAAGTATTCCTTACACTGAATGAATGACAATAAATATTTATTGATTATGAATTTAGAAGGCTTTGGAATTGCACCACTGGCAATTGCATACCATACCAGCTTTACCATATAGGTTTATGTTTATTTATGCTTATCTGTGCATGGTTATCATATTATATATATATATATATATATATATATATATATATATATATATATATATATATATTGGAGATTTAGAGCACTTGGTTTTTTCACAATCCCTTGATTTACCATCTCATTCATGCTAAATGGGCTGTTGAAATATGGGTGTATTTTATAAATGATTTTGTTTTTATTATATCATTGTGGTTTAAGAAATGACACATGTTGTGTATATAATAATGTGCATCTTTGATTTCCTTGCAGGGACAGGCTGGACAGTTTTTAAGCCCTGAAAGTGCTTAATATGTTTAGTTTGTTCAAATGCATCAGACTTGTTCGGACTGATTTAAGTCTATTAAAGCATTCTGCAAGATTTTTGCCATCTTCATGTGTGTGCCCAGATAGATTCAAGGTGGTGAGTACCTGACCAAAAATGCTTCCTAATTTAAATGCAGAAAACTATTATGATCAGGGCACAGATAAGAGGTCACAGAAAAGCATGCCTTACAACAGCTTGTGTCAGGCAATCAGCTAGTGAAAACTTTGGTTCATTCTCATCCAGAACTATGCCAAATTGTTGCTGTTCCTGTGGCACTGGGACTGTGCCATCACCTGTGCTGTGGTGCTGAGGCCACACTGTGGCTTGTGCTGTGTGCTGTGGTGCTGAGGCTGCACTGTAACCCGTGCTGTATGCTGTGTGTGGATGCTGCACTGTGAACAATGTTGCGGCCGTGCTGTGTTAACAGGCCCACACAGCTGGCCAGCAGCGATGCCTCGCCACCACCGGCCGGTGGTTGTCTGCAGAGAGCACAGATGACAAACCAAAGCCACTGGTGAGTGCTCGCTGGCAGGTATGTTGTGACACTTGTCAGTTGTTTTGGATCCATACTTTCCTTGTGCGATTAGATTGGCCATCATGGCGATCTCCGGGCCTTAGACGGCGATTCGGTCCGCTATTTGGTCCGTTGTCACCGTCTTCCCTGAGACCCGCGACAGGTGATTTGTCAGTGCCCCCCCCCATGCTTCATGGCAGTGCTGTATGACTCGTCCGCTTACAAGCTATGACAGGTGGTTTGTCAGTGCCCCCCCCCCCCCCGTGTTCCATTTCATGGCAGTGCTGTATGACTCGCTCGCTTACGAGCCATGACAGCGTCCTCTGGCCGTTTTAATGTTGTGAGATTGCGCACCAGTCCCCTCCCCCGCCCCTCTCTGGCGCCCCCGCCCTTCACCCCTGCATCGGTGACGGGGTCCCGTGACTGCTGTCAGTTGTGTACCAGGGCCCTCCCCCCCCTCTGCTGGCCCCCGCCATTCGCCCCACTGCAGTCGGTGACAGGGTCCCGTGACTGCTGTCAGGTCGTGTACCAGGGCCCTCCCCCCCCCCTCCCTGGCGCCCCCGCCCTTCACCCCTCTGCAGTCGGTGACGGGGTCCCGTGACTGCTGTCAGTTGTGTACCAGGGCCCTCCCCCCCCCTCTCTGGCGCCCCCGCCCTTCACCCCACTGCAGTCGGTGACAGGGTCCCGTGACTACTGTCAGGTGTGTACCAGTCCCTCCCCCCCCCCTCCCTGGCGCCCCCGCCCTTCACCCCCTGCAGTCGGTGACGGGGTCCCGTGACTGCTGTCAGGTTGTGTACCAGGGCCCTCCCCCCCCCTCTCTGCGCCCCCGCCTTCACCCACACTGCAGTCGGTGACAGGGTCCCGTGACTGCTGTCAGGTTGTGTACCAGTCCCCCCCCCCCCCTCTGGCGCCCCCGCCCTTCACCCCTCTGCAGTCGGTGACAGGGTCCCGTGACTGCTGTCAGTTGTGTACCAGTCCCCTCCCCCCCCCCCTCTGGCGCCCCCGCCCTTCACCCCACTGCAGTCGGTGACCCCCTCTGGCGCCCCCGCCCTTCACCCCACTGCAGTCGGTGACAGGGTCCCGTGACTGCTGTCAGGTTGTGTACCAGGGCCCTCTGGCGGGCCAGATGAAGCGGCTGAAGGTGTTCTCCCTCTTCACCAGCGCCGTCGGTATCTACGTGGCCCCCACTGTCATGACGGAGATGAGCAAGGCCGGCATGGGGTGAGAACGGGCCGGGCCCTTTCATCTCTCCCGTCCATTTTGGTCAGCTTCTCCCATTTCTGACATTGCTACCGGCAACTAAATCGCCACCAAGATTGCTGATGAGATGCATGGCTTTGTGTTCGTCCAATTTTCCTGTTACCTTGTAAAATTACAAGCTGGTGTGTTTTTTAGTGCATGTTGACATACAAAGTTGCATTGTCGCGATAGGTTGTTGTAAATGTCACGTCAAAGCAATACCACTTGGGTATCCGGGAACGGTGCTGCTGGTCATATGATAATGACCGGCAGTACCTATATAATGGCCATGGCCCATGATAATGATGCTGCTGTTGGTGATGGCGCAGTTGCCGATGACACCCGCTATGCTGCAGGATCGCCATCATGATGGGCTCTGTGATGGGCACCTTCACCCTGCTCACGCCGCTGCTGATACACATGGTGGTGCGCAACTACGTGGTGCGGCTCGAGCACGACGAGGCCACCGACCAGTACACCGCCACCACCATCTCGCTCATGCTCAGGAAGCGCACGGTGAGAGGGCGCCACGAACGCGTGTGGACACGGCTCCGCACGGCTGAGAGACAGGGAGCGGGCTGCGGCGGGTGGACCTCCGTGCCACCCCGCGGCTGGGTGTCTCACGCGCTTGAGCTGTGGATAGCTGTGGTTTGTCTCGTGGCTGGGCCTCGCCAGTCCGCGGTGACCAGTTGACCGAGGGTGGGTGAAATCAACGTTCCCGTCTTGTTGGCTGTGCTCACCATGTTCGCGGCGCACTGTTTCAGCTGACGTTCGGCGTGGATGACGTCACCGTTCCTGCCGTGCCGGGCATGTTCACCACGTTCTTGGCGCGTGGGCGGCCGCTGTTCGTCGACGCCGGCCAGTTCGAGCCGATCGAACACTACGGCCGCCTCATGGGCTATGATCGACCCTTCGACTTCAAGCTGCACAAGCAGCCGCCGTCGTCGTCGCAGCCACCAAAGACGTGACGTCATATGCAGCTGGGAGGTGAAGTCGTCGTGCGGACGTGAGGACGATGGACGGCGTCGCGATGCCATCTGAGAACTCCAGCGGCGCAGCTGCGGGTGTGACAGACGTCTGCGGCTGGGCGCAAAATGACCATTGCAGTCGACGCGCCCGAAAACACCAATGACCAACAAACAAGACGTCTGCGGTGTGGTGTGGCAGAGCTGTGACGAAGTGAGATGACTTGGCGAAGGTATGCTGGAGTCGTCGATGTATGCAATAAACTGAATGTGATGTATAAGGTTCTTTTCATTGAAGTAAGGGATGCTACAAAGGCGAATTTCGTCAGAGCTCCGGGTGGATGCCTGCATTGCCTCAATAACGGCGATACCGAGAGTGTGGAGGCCGGGGTCATGGAGGATGATATCTTGGTCATGTGGGGAGAACGTCGAGGAGGACGAGGGGGGAGAGGCAGAACGGCCAGAACGTCGCTACGTGGAGCTTTCGACTGTTCCATCTGAACCTGTTTAAAGTTATTTACCGGTGCGCGAGGCGAAGGATTACACTGAAATGGGGTGCTTCCTGGGTTACTAATCCAAAAAAGGCCAGCAAAGCGTTTAAGACGCCTCGCAACGCGTGCGGCTGCTTTCCTAGGAACCCGCTGCAATCACTGGCGCTGCACATGAGCATCCGACGATCCCTACAATTCAACGTTCGCATCTTCAACGTCCGGTGATGGGAACTTCCCTTCATGCGTATGCCATTTCTGGTCGAACTGTGAAGCACGCGAGACCTGCCAACGGCGCTTAGTGCGACTGCGCTGTTCTCTAAGTCACAGCGCCATGCCTGCGGAGCTGAGTAGCATGTACGGCATGATCATGTCCGCATTCAGTGAAGTGCGTTCCCGTCACATCGTCACGCGTCTTGCCGACGTTCACGAACAAGCCGGCGATCGCTTTGTCGTATATTCAACATTTGGCCATATACACAACAACATGCTGCATTGATTGTCCACAGGGCGCCCGAGCCAGCTGCTGGGAGAGCCGGCAGCAACTGAACCAGACCCACCGACACACCGAGACACGCACACATACCACCCATGACACCACACCTGGAATACAGAGACACGACGCGCCGGGCTCCAGCAGCGCCAACGGCTGAGGTACACCACCCGGCGGCCAGCCCAGCGACCTTGACCGCTGCGGCGAGACGTCACTGGCTGGCGGCGACGGGTGGTCACCGAGGCTCTCCAGGAGCGCCAGCGGCTGAGGTACACCACCCGGCGGCCAGCTCAGCAACCTTGACCGCCGCGGCGAGACGTCACTGGCCGGCAGCGCTGGGTAGTCACCGAGGCTCTCCAGGAGCGCCGGGCTCAGAATCGGGCGTCGACAGCGACACAGGCAGAGGCCGCCAGCCGGAAGAACACGTAACGAATGGTCCGAGCCCCGCAGGCGCGCGCGCGGCTCACTCGCAGCACGACCAACGGCGTCACGACAGCGTCACGGTCACAACGGCGCCACAGTACATACCCTCGGCGTGCCAGGCGGGGGGCCGGCTCCCAACAGATTCTACAAGGCGCACACCAAACCGTGAGCATCATATCCTCCGGCAGCGCAGCAGCGAGATACCCCGACTCTGAGCACCTCTTTACACCACCACAACGTGACATCGGAATCAACTGTCGCTTTAAGCTCTCAACAACATGGCGCGCGCGCGCAACTTTACCGCAGTACATCGCGACACTAGCGCCATCTATAACTACGCACAGCCAACACAAGTTCTGTCGCCGGCCGCTCAAGACGGCGGCATGTCGAAATCGTCAATGACCTTAACCATGGGCACATGCAGCTCGTCGATGTTGGGGGTGGTGCGCGGGTCGCACGCGCCGATCTCCTTGAGCTTCCACTCCCAGTCCATCTTCTGCACGGCATGCAGCGACTCCGCCTCGTTGTGGTGTCGCAGCACCATGCCCTCCTGCGGACGGCAGCCACGTGCGTGACGGTGCGCAGGGAATCACATGCAACAACAGGCCCAGTCAATGGTCCCCACACAAGACTTCAGTTTAGCAACTGATCCGTATGCGAGACTGTCCTCGCTTTGTACAACAGTTCGACGGGCCACCCAGCACTTAATCGTTTCAAAGATCACACCAGCCGAAACAACGCACACCTTTCGCCCGGACTCAGCACACTGCATAAACTTTGCACCCCACACAGCCCCAACTTCTCCCCAAAGCTCTCCGCAGCGGCGCCCACCTTGATCTTCTCCCACTTGTCGTCCACGTCCTGGAGCCAGCTGAAGAACTGACGGCCGTTGTAGCGGTCGCGCACGTTGCGGTCCTTCTCCTCCTGCTCGGGCGTGGCCAGGTTGTAGACCTCCTCGTCGCGCAGGATGGTGCAGGCGCTGAACGGCAGCGCCTGGTTGGCGAGCGCGCGCGCCGCCCGGCCGTGCACGCGCAGGATCTCCTGCTCTACCGTCAGCACCAGCTTCTCCTTCTCGATGATGTGCTGCCGGGGCGGGGGAGGGGGTCAGGCGGAAGGTCGGGCACACGGTGCGGACGCCGATGCATTCTGTTGACAAGGCATCGCGGCCCGCTTTTGTGTGGCGATGGCGAATGGACCGTTAGGGCATAATGAAAAAGGTCACTGAGTGCGATCATGCGGATGACGAGTGGAATAGTATTTGTGGCTGTCACCAATTCCGTCAATCACTCGCCATCATTCAACAACCCAATCTATCCTTAGTATTCAGTCCCCCCCGCCACCTATGCAGGCACGCGCATGGTTAAGCAGTGTTCCACTTTCGTATGGGGATTTGGACGGAAATAGCCATCTCGAGGATCATTCGGTGTAGTTCACTGACCTGCACTTCTCAAGGTCTAAACCATTCTAATTTCTGACAGCTACATGCCCGCGAAGATACGAAGAACATTTCGCGCAGACTATTTCTGGGCCATTCAGCCATGCATGGCGCCATATCAACACCATCCAAATCCCGCCATCCCATACGTCATGTGGCGTTCAAGGACAGAAGGGACATCGTCGAGCAGTTCAGATCTGGCATACGTAACCATGACTTCCAAATATAGTGGACGCCAGTTGCTTCTTAACGAAGTTGAGCATAGTCGCTACACTTGCTAGTTATCCACGGGAGCACAGCACATAACGATGTTGGCTCAGCACATAACAATGTTGGCTCAGCGAATACTTTCAGCACCACCACTGCCGTCCTTTTGCTTCCAAACCAGCCGTGCCATTTCGCACGGCTGGTTTGAAAGCGCCGTAACGTCACACAAACGTTCCATAACGCAAGCAAACAATGGCGCACTGAGGAGCATATTTACCAACCAGCAAAATTGTGTTGTCTGGAGCAGTCTTTTCCACTTAAAGGTATACCACAAGGTAGCAGGTAGCCTAAGTAGAAGGGCACAGCGTGTAGCTGGCTTGATAAACACCATTGGTCGCGCAGGTTTCATCACAGCCAGATGAGAAGGGAGTGCACACACCTGGTTTGATGGGGTAGACTGGGTCCCGCATATCACTATGACCGATGTGCTGTCTGCGTGACCTTCGACCTGTCCATGACATTTTATACGGTTGGCTGCTGCCGCTCACCAGCGGCTCCGCTCCACCTTCCTACAGTTCAAATGAATTGGGTCCTGAGCCGAGTTCCCTTGCAAGCTCTGTTCCTGAGTGTTCTATCCTAACTGGCCCGCGCGGTGTCCAGAAAACGGGTCCGTAAGCCCCGGCCCGCGACGTCGCCAACACGTGCTGGCGTCTGTCCCGCGAGCGGATTTCGCTAAAACCGCGGCATCCCGCCTGCTGAACGTTCCCGTAACCCCCACTGCGGCGCAGTTGTGGAACGCTCGGGGGCATCAAAACCCCGCGGTTGGCGCGCCACGTTCTCGCCAACATATGACGTCACAGTGCCTGCGCAGCTGGCAGCCGACAGGTGCGGACATGTGCACCTCCAGCTCTCACGGCATGACTCGCCCGTTCGGACGACGCGGGGAAGACCTGCCCGGGCGCGGCTGCTGCGTCACCGCGTGGGAGACGGTGTCTTTGGGTTCGCGACGCAAGCGTAGCTGTTTCCCTCCAGCCCGGTATATCGCACGTCACTCCCGGAAGTGGGTCACGCGCCGGAACGGACCAGACGGAACGGCGCCGGCCTCTCGTGACCATGCACCTGTTCACAGCCCAGGCCGTTCCGGACCGCCAGCGGGCAACTCTGTCTACGTCAGGCCAGACAGGGCGAAAAGGCACCAGCTGGGGCACAACAAAATTGCGCTCCGTCGCGCGCTCACCACGAAACCAACCAGCCATGCATTAGCTTCTAGCGGCCTGATGGACAGCGTCGACCACCTGAACTGATCCCTCAGCAGCCATCCCTACCCTTCGCGGTTCACAGCAGCCCAGCCTCACCTGTAGCCGAAGTTTGTAGCGCTCGATCTCCTGGTCGACAAAGAGCTCCTTCATGCCGGGCGCCAGACTGGCCGGCGGCGCCATGGTCGGCACGGACAGGCGCGACTGCACGTTGCCCGCTAGCACGTACGTCGCCCGGTTGATGAGGTAGTCCTTGAAGCCGCGCGGCGGCTTGGGCGTAATGGGGAACAGCTCACGCCGCCGCCGGTCGATCTGCCGGCGGATCTCCTGGAACGCCTTGTAGTTGTTCATGAAGGGGGGGTCAGCGGGCGGCGTGGCCGTGCCGCCACCACCGCCGCCGCCAGCGCCAGCGCCACCGCCGCCACCACCACCACCACCGCCGCCGCCGCCGACGCCGCCGCCGCCACCACCAACACCACCACCACCACCGCCGCCGCCGCCGCCGCCGCCTCCGCCGCCGCAACCCTCCTCCTCCGCCAGCTGTTGCGTCGCGCGCGCCTGGCGGATCTTGCGCTTGCGCGGGTGTTCGACGACGGGCGGTGGCGGCGGAGGAGGCGGCGGCGCCGGCGGCTCGACCGTCTCCTCCTCGGCCGGCCGGTCTGTGTCGGGCGCGCTGCCGACACTGCCGGCGCCAGCGCCGCCAGCGCCGCCGCTGCCGCAGCTGCCGCCGCCGCCGCTGCCGGCGCCCGTCGACTCGGGGCTGGCCGCGTCGCCCGAGCTGCCCTGCAGCGCGCGCTGCGAGCGTGTGACACGCGCCGGCGTGCTAGGCTTGTCGCCGCCGCTGCCGGCGCCCGGCGAGCCGGCCTCGCCGCCAGCGTCGGACGACGGCGGCGGCGGCTGCGCGCCTGGCTCGCCGCCCGCCTCGTCCGTGTCCGTCTCCGCCTGTGACGGCACCACATACGGCAGGCGCGCGCCGGCCGGGCCCTTGCCCTTGGCCACCTCCTGTTCGGCGCTGGCGGCATTGATGACGATCTTGAGCGGCGGCACCTTGGGGCCCGCCTCGCGCCGCTCGTCGCCGTCGCTGTCGTCGGAGGTGGTGCGGCTGGTCGGTTTGCTCTTGGGCGGCGTGCTGGCGCCCTGAGACCCCGTCGGACTGCGCCGGTCGCTGCCGCTGCCGTAGCCCTTGCCGCCCTTGCCGCCGCCCGTCGCCTTGCCTGCCGACTTTCCCGCCTTGTCGGCGCCCTTGCCGTTCTTGGCCGCGGGCTTCGGCGTCTCCTCCTTCTTCTTCTTTTTCTTGCTGCCCTCCTCGGCGTCGGCGTCGTCCATCTCGCTCGACGGCCGCTTGCCGTCCTCCGTCTTCACCTCCTCCGCCTTCGGCGGACTGCCGGGCTTGGGCTCCTTCTTGTCGTCCTTCTTGTCGGGCTCGGCGGCGCGCTCGCCGGACGGCGCGTCGCCCTCCTGCTCCGGCTTGAAGTCGTACAGGTCGGCGGCGGACGACTCCGACTGGTCCATGGCGTCCGCCTGCGCCAGCCGGCCGATGCGGCGGCTCAGGCGCGTGGGCCGGCGCGGCGGCGGCGACGGCTGGTTCTCCTTGTCGTCCTCGCAGTCCGTCTCTGTAGAGTACAGCGGACTGTTGGTCGTGGTAGAGACACTTGCACCTAAACGCGCCCATGCCAGGATGCAAGCACCATGACGAAAACCGGCTGAACCGTTGAGAGTTCGAACCAATTAATATTTTGCTATCTGTTGGTGCTTCAGGGCGTGTCGGCCGCAATGGTCAGTTTGCGCCCACACCGCTCGAACCAAATTCACGCAGCGAGTAAAAAACAGCATATCGTCCCCCCTTCCCCCCTCCACGCCGTGCTCTTAACATGCCCGTGTGCCCCTCCCGCCTATCGAACTAGATCCCCCCCCGAACCATCCACCCCCGCACGCTGCCCAGCCCACAGCGGCCTCCGGCGTTCGGCGGCACCATCCGCCGTCCGTCGGCACGCACCGTTCTCGTCGTCGGTGTCGCTGAGCTCGGTGAGCGCGGCCGGATCGCGCTCGAGCAGGCGGCGCACGGGCAGCGCGGCGGCCAGCTCGGCCGGCCGCTGGCCGAGCGCGGTACGCGCCGCTGGGTCGGCGCCGTGCCGCAGCAGCAGGCGCACCAGCCGCGGCCGGCTGTTGCCCGCGGCGTCGTGCAGCGGCGTCACGCGGTCCAGGCCCGGCCGGTTGACGTCGGCGCCCGACTCCAGCAGCTGGCGCGCCACCCCCGACCAGCCGTGGATGCAGGCCTCGTGCAGGGGAGTCCAGCCTGCCGGCGGCGCCGACGCCGTCAGAAACGCCCGACGACAGGCGGGGTTACCGGGGTTACGCGGGGTGCGGGGTTATCGACCTGGCGGGAGTTAGGGAACGGGAGGGCGCCAGCGCAGGGTCTTGGGGCGGCGAGCAGGATCACTGTGGCGTCATCTGACTCCGACGAGACGGGTGACAGGACCACCGCAGGTCGTCGCGCGGTATGGGTGGGGATGGGAGCGGTCAGGTGTGAGGAGCCGACAGCAGGACCATGAAGCCGAGCCGCTGAGTTACGACGCGACACTGATTTATTGCACGGATACACAATTACGGTGATAAACGACGCGATAATGACATTGATTTACGAGGTGTCGTGCAGCGTGACGGTAAACTACGATCCCTACGCCCTACATTAGAACTAAATTGCGAAGGACTCTACAAAATTTCCAGGCCATCTCCGTGAAACATTTGACGAAGATCCTTTTGATTAGGGCTGGGGGCAGAGCGGGCCTCACGGGCTAGTGTCCGACGCGATGACGCAACTAGATACAACGTTAACTGACACTGATGACGAGCTGCTGAATGGCACACACATATACAACCGTAATCACGAGATGTCTATGACGTGATGCAAAAATTGCGACACTCTTATCATGGTTCACACGTGAGTTGGAGGTTGCCAAATACAACAGGCTACGGTGACACGCTAGTCTACCGGTTAAACAACGCAACTTCGAGTCACGTTGACACGGACGGTTAAAAGCTTCCAAAGCGAGTGATCTGTCCCAGGCCGCTCCGGGAAGGACGACGCTGGATAATCGTTAGATGCTAACCAATACGCATGATCAAGGAACACTTCCAAAGCGAGTGATTTGTCCCCGGCCGCTCCGGGAAGGACGACGCTGGGTAATCGTTAGATGCCAACCAATACACATGATCAAGAAACACAGCAGCGTTCCAGGTCCCTGCGCCAAGAACAATGTTGGATGATGGTGCGATACCAAGAAATGAACGTAATCTGTGAACAAAGCAGGAATCACCCACCCAGGTAAGAATGCATTCCCGAAACTGTGTTGAGACCAAGCGCCCAGCAAAAATGGTCACAGCCACAATACCAATGACGAAACCCAGATAGTAAATGCTCATCGGATCCACTCGTGACGTCAAAGCGCTTTTTAGAACCGCGATCATTCACATATCTAACAATCCAACGTCCACAGACATGCAAGCCCAGTGCCATCTCCGCAATAGCACACGATTCATAGACCAGGGAACATCAACTCGATGTTCATGGCAGCATAAATACCACTGAGCGCTTTCAGATGAAGCCGTTTGCAGCCCGCTGAACTTTAGCGGGCCCCGCGAGCGCCGATAACGCGCGCCGAAGGGGAAACCTCGTTTGACGGAATTAACTTAGCGAAAGCAGGATGCTAAGTCTGCCATGATCAACTCACAACTTGGAAAACCTCAAACACGGTAGGCGTCCGTGGGACTTAATCCGCAGCAGCAATATGCGGTACAAACTTCCCGGCGATTTTAATTGTTTTCATCAACTCAGCTTTCAACACTGGTAGTAAACATGTCCCAACACTTCCCAGCACCAACCGCGGAAGTAGATATCCAGCTGCAAGGCATGGTGCCTCGCATTATTTATTTGTAAGCGTTGCGGATGTTGCAGCGGAATGGTTTGGAATGCCCCTGTCCAGCCTGCAGCACCAGCACGAAAGCAGGCCTTAGCCTACTTCCCTAACCCGTTCAGGTGCAATGTCCATCCTTAAACCTTGAACAAGCGTTATCTGTGATTGCCGCAAACACCGACGCGAGCATCAAGCGGAAGTCGGCTACGTCGAACCGCAGAACGAGCCCATTCGTGCCAGCCCACAGTCACTTGAGAGCTCCAACTGCTGTCACTCCTGCGCCACATCTCTACAGCAGACACCTCAGAGAAGGCGGCAGCTGACGGCGCGGCCCGGTCCTCACGTGCAGCACGGCCGGGCCGACTGAGCTCCGCCGTCGCCGCCGCCGCCGCCGCCGCACGGCGTCGGTCGGAGTCCGGCGCCGCGCTCTCGCCAGCGGCGAGCCCTGCTCTCTCCAGCCGTGTCGCGCACCAGCCGCTCCATGACAAGCTGCGGCAGACTTGGTGAGCCACCCGGTCCACTGGCGCCGCCGCTTCTCGTTCGACCCGAGCCGGACCGATGCCAGCACTCAGCCGCCGAAACGAAAGTTCCACAAGCGCAGCAAATGAACTGCTTGAAAAATGGAGCAGCAAACTTAGTCCATATTCAAATGAATGCAGCAGAAACTCCGGAAACACCCAATAAGTTAACTCCAGAGAAAATTGCTGCAGTGCGCACAATGTAATAGGCGCACGACGTATATCACTCGCACGAGATCTGCATTCTGAAGCACCTTCAGCACACTGGAAACTGTTTGAAAGGCCAGCCAGAGCACGGGCCAGAGAAAATACTTCTGCCGCGTGCACGATGTCTTCATTTTGAGGCACCTCCCGTGCAATGATAATTTGATAAACGTACGGAATGTAGGCGCAAAGATGACTTGGTAAAGACTGCTCGTGTGCAAGCGAAGCTGCAGAACAAACCTGTTTAAGCCTACCATACGGCCCGTTTTGCCGCTTAAGTGATCAGCTCGGCCCCGCTGTTCACGCTTTTGAGGGTTTATATAATTGCAATGCTGGTTGTATCATCAGACCGTTTCCAGCAAAACGTAGCAATGATGATGGAATCTGGGGATTAGGGGAGCGCCAATATGGCTAGGTACCGAAATCCCCCCCAAATGTGTGCTGAAATATTTTCAAGTCACTAACAATAACTATTTTATTAGCCCTAGATTGCTGTTGCAACAATGGAAATTATCGCTTGAATCTCATACTCCATCAACATGGGAAACAAAAACAATGCGAACAGCAAACGACTTGAGAACGTGATTCAAAACCACACCCAGAAAACGCCAACTACATGGGCCGTGACCATACATGACGAACATCGCTTGCCGGAAAATACGACGGGCAAACGACATGGCGAGAGCGGCCGTAACAAGTCTTATCTAAGAGCCGTCACACATTTCGTGCGTGTTGCCGATGACGTGTATGGGAGCGCAAGACACGAGTCTGCCGATTTTTGGGGCCACAGGTCCTCGCACGCCCGATGAGATAAAGGCGTGAAAAGTCCTTTATGGCGCAGGTGGATGGCCGCCAAAAGCACACAACGCGATTGCGAAGCGTGTTCAGCAGCCTCCAATCCGTAGCTACGTCAGTAAACTGATCAGGAAGTGGGCAACATCGCTTTATTTGGTTCCGCCTTCCGAGAATCCCACGATGGGCCTACAACGCGTGGAATGGGCTATACGAACTGCGCCGTCGCGAAGCCAGCTCCACCTTACCAATACCGATCCCAAAACATGCGCTTTCGTGTAACACTTTGGTCAGTCACCGACACAAAAAAAAAACACTGAAAGTCTGTTGATTTCACCAGTTTCAATGACTAGGCCTTCCCAGTCTTAGCCCTAGCTGATTTGCAAGCAATCATCATATATCTTCTTTTTTAAGGGAACGCAAGGCACGCCATCGCGCGCCCTTTTATGGAGGACCAGAGGCTGCAGAGACTACTTAAGCCCCCACCCCCCCGTAGGAGTCGAAAACGCTGACCACTTGGCCAGTCCTTGGTGCCCCCCAAGCAGTGATCTGCATTTGATCGAAAACACAATGCGGCGCTGAACCCAAGGCCACAATTTTGTGCACTTTGAGGTTTTGGAACCGTGAGAAAAAGTCTGACTGTCATACAAGCAGCACCACTATAACTTCAGTCCAATTACCGACACCTGACTGCGGTTGATCAACGCCAGCGCACGGTCAACAGCCGAGTTCATCTCGTCTTTGTTCCTGAATATCAGCGCGATGGTCTTGATGGCCCAGTTCGGGCCAGTGAACACAAAGACATGTTGTACATTCCGGAGCAGCACACTCCTAAACACCTTGACACAAAGTCCCCATCCGCATGTTTGGCTCGCGCTCCTTCTCACCCCGCGGGTGCTGCGGAATGACATTTGGTCTGGTTAATGGGCTTCGCATGTGTTGAAAATGCTAGGGTGTGGGTGCCCTCCCCTGTAACGTTAAAGTGGCCTGCATGTGTCGTGTATTACGTCACAACGCGATTCATTTTAGGAGCTCGCGTATTTCTCAGTAGGAATAACGGTTTCTCAAGAACGGAACTTCAACCTTATTCTGAGCCTACTTGTTTGAAACGCGGACACCAAAATCACGATTTTCCTCGGGGTGTGATTAAAGGGAGCGATCCACTTTTGCATGGGTGTTTGAACTGGAATGGCTACCATGAAGACCATTCGATGCAGGTCACAGGCCTGTCCTTTAGATCTGAACCCGTCTAGCCTCTGAGCTACACGCCCGCGAAGATGTGCGCACTATTTCGGGGAGACAGTCTCAAGGTCACCCAAGCATCCATGACCTCAGAATAACGTCACTCAAGTCCTGCCTTTTCTTTCGTCATGCGACGATCAAGCTGCAGAAAAGCTGTGATTGTCAAGCCGTTCACGTCTGGTGTACGTGAGCACGATTTCCAGATGTAACGGCCGTCAATGGACTCTCAATCAGTGTTGAGCAAGGTACGACGACGTAATTAAATAATGATGTACTAAAAAGCGTCATTCTAAAACGAAAAATTGCGTTGTGTAGAGTAGCCTTTTCTATTTGAAAGCATGCCAACAGTTATAAGTGAGCTAATTTCACCATATCTGTTGCTTTCTTCAATATCTTCAAATGTGGGGCATTCCCTTTATCCCCAAGTCAGAAAGTTAAAATTATGATCCTGATTCACCACTGCCTACCACATTAAGGCACTGACGACAGGGCGGACGTGTGTGAGCTCCCGCCATAAGGGCTCCCGAAAGCGACGTGGCTTTTGTTTTGTTATCATCAGAATGATCATGACACTTACTTCCATCGCGTCGCTCGTCCCGCATCGAAAGGCCGTCCTTCTACTTTGA